TATTTATATCCCAAATGTCAGTGCACCTGAAATTACTTGACATAAAGACTCAAAGAGACTCCGGTATAATACTGGGTGATTTCAACATACCTGTCCCACTAACAGAGACACAAACTAATTAGACTATCAGTAGAAACTATTTAGACTTTAAAAATCTTATAAATCAAATGGGCTTAAGAGATATCTATAGCCAGTCATGGTGAGAATGCCTGGAATCCCAGCGATTCAGGAAGCTGAGGAAGGAGGATCACAAGTTCAAAGCCAGCCTCAGCAACTTAGCAAGCTTAAAGCAACTCAGCAGACCCTATCTCCAAAAAAAAAAAAAAAAAAAAAAAGGAAAGAAAAGGAAAAAAGGCATCTATCTATAGAATATTTCGTCCAACAAAAGCTGAATTCACTTTCTTCTCAGCTTTCATGGAACCTTCTCTATTTAAAACAGATCATATTTTAGGACCCAAAGCAAGTCTCAGCAAATACAAGTTAATTCCTTGTATCTCTTCTGATCATAATGGAATAAGATTAGAAATCAGAACCAAAAAATAAAAAACAAAAGACTATAGAAACTATATAAACACATGGAGATTGAACAATACACTGTTAAATGATGAATGGATAACAGAAGAAATCAGAGGAGAAAACTGTAAGTTCTTAGAATCAAATGAGAATACCAATACAACACACCAGTACTTCTGGGATGCTATGAAGATAAGTTCTAAGAGGAAGGATTATAATAGCTATAAGAGCCTATGTAAGAAAATCAGAAAGATCCCAAATGTACAACTTAATGATGCATCTCAAGAGCCCTAGAAAAACAAGAACAAACCAATTCCAAAACCAGTAGAATCAGAGCTGAGAACAATGAAATAGAGAATAAAAAAAATACAAAGAATCAACTAAACAAAGAGTTGGTTCTTTGAAAAGATAAATTAGGTAAACCCTTAGCCAAACTAACCAAAAAAAAAAAAAAAAAAAAAAAGAGAGAAAACCAAATTAATAAAATTAGAAATAAAAAAGGAGAAACACAGAATCAGACATCACAGAAATTCAGAGATCAGCTGGGCATGGTAGTGCATAACTGCAATCCCAGCAACTTTGGAGGCTGAGATAGGATCCCAAGTTCACAGCCAGCCTTAGCAACTTAACAAGGCCCTAAGCATGACCAGGTTGATTTCATTCCAGGGATGCAAGAATGGTTTAACATATACAAATCAATAAATGTAATTCATCATATAATGACAGAATTAAGGAGAAATATATAGTCATTTTAATCAGTGCAGAAAAAGCCTTTGACAAATTCAGCACCCACTCATGATAAAAACACTGAAGAGATGAGAGACAGAAGGGACTTAAATACATCAGTAAGGTGATATGTGACAAACCCAAAGCTAACATCATAGTTAATGATTAATGGGGAAAAACTGAAAACATTTCCTTTAAAATCTGGAACAAGACAAAAATGTCTGCTCTCATGACTTCTATTCAATATAGCTCTAGGAATTCTAGCCAGAAGAATTAGACAAGAGAAGTAAATAAAAGGGATAAAAATATTTAAGGAGGAAGTCAAATTATTACATTCTGCAAATTATATCATCTCAAACTTAGGAAATCCAAAAAGCTCTACCAGACGACTACTGGAGCTAATAAACAAATTTAAAGTAATAGGTTTCAAAATCAACACGAAAATCAATAACTTCCTGTACACCAATAATGAACCTGCTGAGAAAGAAATCAGGAAAACAATCCATTTTACAATAGCTTTAAAAAAGAAAATACCTAGGAATAAATCTAACCAAGGAAATGAAAGACTTCTACAATGAAAACCATAAAACACTGAGTAGGGGCTGGGGATGTGGCTCAAGCGGTAGCGTGCTCGCCTGGCATGCGTGCAGCCCGGGTTCGATCCTCAGCACCACATACAAAGATGTTGTGACCACCGATAACTGAAAAATAAATATTAAAAAAATAAAAAATAAAAAAAAATAAAACACTGAGTAAAGAAACTGATGAACATACAAGAACATGCAAAGACTTCCATGTTCATGAATAGGCAGAATTAATATTTTTAGAATGGCCTTACTGAGGCTGGAATTGTGGCTCAGCGGTTGAGCACTGTCTCCCATGTGCAAGGCCTTGGGGGTGGGGGAGGGAAAGAGGGAAGGAGGGAAGGAGGGAGGGAGGGAGGGAAGAGGGAGGGAGGGAGGGAGGGAGGGAGGGAGGGAGGGAAGGAAGGAAGGAAGGAAGAGGGTGTTATGAAAAGTGAGCCCAACGTGTAAAAAAAAAAAATGGCCTTACTACCAAAACAATACACAACTTCAATACAATTCCCTTCAAAATACCAATGATATTCTTCACAGAACTAGAAAAAACTGTTCTTAAATCATTCTAGGCCAAAAACAAGCAATGCTGGAGGCTTCATTTAAGTCTCTTCAAATTATACTACAGAGCTACACTAACAAAAACTGCATGTGCTAGAATAAGACACATAGACCAAGACAACAGAGGACACAGAGAAAATCACCCAGATATAGTCATCTGATCCTTGACAAAAGAATCAGAAACATATGTTGGAGAAAAGACAGCCTTTTTAACAAATGGTGCTGGGAAAACTGGTTATCCACACGTAGAAAAGAGCCTGCACAAAATTCAACTCAAAATGGAGGCTGAGGCAGGAAGATCATAGTTCAAGGCCAGCCTCAGCAACTTAGTGAGGCCCTAAGCAACTCAGTGAGACCCTGTCTCAAAAATAAAAAGGGCTGAAAAAGAGCTGAGATGTACCTCAGTGGTAAAGCACCCCTGAGTTCAATCACTAGTACCACAAAAATAAGGGGGGGAGGGGGTTGAGAGGTTGAGAGAGAGAGAGAGAGAGAGAGAGAGAGAGAGAGAGAAGACTATTAATACACAGATACAGAGCAACTGGTATTTTCAGAAGTTGCTGGGTTGGGAGACATGCCTATCCTTGACAAGGAGGAGGGTCGATTCAGATTGGTTGGTCCATGCCTCGGTCCTGTAGGTAGAGCTGACCTCCCCATAACTGCAAGGACTAGTCAGACTTATCATAAAAGGGGAGAAGGAAGCACCCACTGGAAGGGATAAAGGACTAAAAAAAGTATTTAAGTGTCATCTCTAAATGTCTTTGTTTTCTAGGTACTCTTATTGTTGTTTTAATTCTTTTAATTAGAAATTGGTTTGATTCTATATACATTTATTAAGATAAACTTGTAGTACTAGATATGAAAAGCATATATAGGAGAGTGTGAACATAAAAATGGAATCAATTAATATTATTTCATGGAGGAATGCCATTTGAGCCAGGTTTAAAGAGTAGGTACAATTTCAGAGTCTGGGAAAGATCTTTCAGGGCAAGAGAATGATATAGGCAAAGACCAGTGGTATCGGTGGTCTGAACTGGATTTCAGTGTAGATATCCAGTTTTAAGAATAGAGAGCTTAGTAGCAGAAATGGGAGATGTTGGCTGGCCACATTTACCACTGCTGCTGGTTTTTTTTTTTTTTTTTTTTTTGTACTTAGCATTTAACTCAGGGTCACTTTACCACTGAACCACTGAGCTATATTCTCAGTCCTTGTTATTTTAAACAACTTGCTAAGTTGCTTAAGGTCTCATTAAGTTGCTGAGGTTGACCTCGAACTTGCAATCCTCCTGTCTCAGCCTCCCCAGTCACTGGGATTACAGGCATATGCCACCATGCCTCATTCCACTTTTGCTTTTGAACCTGAAATACTTGAAGTAGTTTTCAAAGGACCTTCACACTTCATCCTGAAGGTCCCAGGCCTGTGTCCTTCACATTAGGTTTTCAGAAGGTATGTCAGGAGATGTGAGAAGCCACAGTACTTTCTAGGGTATCTGCATTCTTTTTTTTTTTTTTGAAGCAGGGATTTAACTCAGGGGCACTCAACCACTGAGCCACATCCCCAGCCCTATATTTTATTTAGAGACAGGGTCTCGCTGAGTTGCTTAGTGCCTTGCTTTTGCTGAGGCTGGCTTTGAAATCCAATCCTCTTGTCTCAACCTCTGAAGCTGCTTAGATTATAGGCTAGTACTAGATTGTAGTACTAGATATGAAAAGCATTTTCAGAACCACAGAGAAGCCAATCCTATTTAAGAGAAGCTAATCCTATTTACATATAATTGAAAATGCAAACACAGTAGGCAAAGATAATTATTACAAAATACTTTTTAATTACAATGGTTCAGTCCACTGTGTGGTGAATTTTACAATATACAAGAAATAACACGAGGGAGGAAAAAAGGCATAAAGGAAAGATTAAAGACATCTTACAGATCTGGTTAACCACTGAAGACCAAGGACTCTGGTTTGTGTTTCATTAGCCAAGAGTATGCCTTGTATCAAATGTAGAGAAGGCAGAGGGAACAATCTTCCAATCTTTTCTAGGTTTGAATAGCAATGAATGAAGCTTACTCAGGGTCATAATAAAAAAGGCATTCATGAGCTGGGGTTGTGGCTCAGTGGTAGAGCATACTTGCCTCGCATGTGTAAGGCACTGGGTTGGATCCTTAGCACCATATAAAAAAATAAATAAACAAATAAAGTTTAAAAAAAAAGGCATTCAAAAGAATAAACCCCAGAAGACCAGCAAATTTGAATGGAGCTAGATGCAGTGGTATATGCCTTTAATCCCACCTACTCCAGAGGGTGAGGCAGGAGGATTGTGAATTCATGGCCAGCCTCAGTAACTTAGTGAGATCCCGTCTCAAAAAATAAAAAATAAAAAGGGCTGGGAATGTAGCTCAGTGGCAGAACACTCCTGGGCTCAATCCCTAGGTACAGCAAAACAAAAACAAAAGTGAATAGAAGCAAGAGATCTGCATTTGGTGAGATAGACATAAATGAGCTTCAGAGGACTCTGCAAAAGGCACGACCTTGCAACATGAGCTCTCAACAGTGGAGGACATGGAAATCTTACACTAGTCCTTCAGATGATGACTTCCTGGAAAGGAGCTGTGCAAGGCTGCAACTCACCTGAGTGATTATGCGCTCTCCATCCTTATAGATCTTTTCTCCTATCACATCCACAATTTTCATTCGTTCTGACACCTGAAACAATGGACACACTCACAAATTATAAGGAAAAGACCTTAACTGAAAGTCATAGTACCTATACAACATAGAACTGGGTTAGGATAGTATGATTTGAAAAACCTAATAACAATAGTTTTAACAGTTTTTCATTCAGACTTTACCTCTAGTGATTTAAGGAGCGGCACAGACTCAATAAATGATTCAAACATCTTCCTCTTTTTTGCATTGTTTTTCACTATGATTCTTCTAAAAGTCACCCGATCCTACAAAAAAGAACATAAAAATTCTAGTATATGCTTGTTTCAGACCACAGGTTGTTACCTATGGTTTAGTTAACTAGACCACAGAAAATATTAGAGGACTATAGAAGTTTATGTCAACTGAGTGTTAAATGACACTTCAAACTCAGAGTCATCACTGGAAGAAAAAGACCTGTAACCTAAGTCCCTAAGTGCTGCTTACTGTCTAGTGCACAATGGGTGCCAACCATGGGTTCATTCATAGAACATAAAACAAAAAACTTCCATCAAACATTTGTGAGTTCACAGTCATAATTCAATGTCAAAAGTCATCCTTCCAAAAAAGGAAAAAACAAAACAATGAGATGGTTCCTGACCTCAAGGAGTTTACAATCTTAGTGAAGAGACAATACAAAATATAAAGAAATTTTAGAAGTGTACAGTTTAAGACAGCATATGACATGTGCTAGGTGAAACCAGAGAAGACAAGTGCCAAAAAAATTTCCAGGTGAAAGAGATCACAGCAGCAGGAATAATCAAAGATAATTTTATACCAAAAAAAAAAATATATATATATATATATATATTTTGGAATCTGAAGGAGGGGTAAGATTTAAATTAATGAAAAGGGAGAAAATACTTGGATCTGTTGAGTTTGCTGTCTTTTCTCATTGAAGCTGAGAATTTCCTTGTTCTTGGTATGACAAGTGATTTTCAAGTATACTTTAGATATTTTGGATATGATATTATATAATTTCTTTTGTAGCCATTCACCCTGTTTAGGTATACCATACATGTACAGGTGGGGGTACATGTTTAGCTCCCAAGTGGGACCTGTTGACACTACCCTGGCAGAGAAAGCAAAGTACCAACTAGTAATAATATGCACCCCTTCATTTTGCCTCTTTGCAATTGGGTATGACTAGTAGTCCAACTTCCTCCTTGGCTCAGTGTATCATGGGGAGACATATCAGTTTTTTGGTTTTTTTTTTTTTTTTTTTTTTTTTTTTTGGTATTTGAAGGAGTAAGGGTGCTATTATCAAAAAGAGTTTTCTGTTCTGCTGGCCACCCTCTTCCTGATTCTTTGGCTAGAGAGTGCCAGGTTTTCATGGGGCTATTTCTGTTGCACCTGTTGACAGATCTGGATTGTAGGCTTTCTTAGCAGCCTACCTTAGTTATATGGAAATATACAGAAATCTAGGGAACTCACTGTTACATCCTTCCTCAAGTTCTAAGATCCCTAGTGAGAATGCCTTCTTCTTTCTACCTTTCAGGGCCTTCCTATGTCCAGAGGTTTGTTTGGGTTTTTTTTGTTGTTGTTGTTGGTTGGTTGGTTGGTTGGTTGATTGGTTTTTTTTTGTTTGTTTGTTTGTTTTCATTTTAAGAAGGAAGGAATGGAATGGAACAATTATTCCCTCTTAGTCTGAGCCAGTAGATGCATTTAAAAACTGAGTTCATTCTCCGCCCCCTACTATTTATTATTCTTCCATATTTGAGTGTTTTTAAATCACTGGGTCCCCAAGTATGTGATCTATTCTTTTTTTCCTTTTCTTCTTTTTTGTTACTGGGGATTAAATCCAGAGGCACTTTACCACTGACCTACATACACCAGTCCTTTTTATTTTTAGTTTTGAGACAGGGTCTTGTTAAGTAGCTGAGGGTCTCACTAAGTTGCTGAGGCCGGCCTCCTGCCTCGGCTTCCCAACCCACTGGGATTATAGTCATGCACCACCACCAGGCCCATCTTGGCAATATTCTTTTTTTTGGTGGTGGGGTACTGGGGATTGAATTCAGGGGCACTCGACCACTGAGCCACATCCCCAGCCCTATTTTGTATTTTATTTAGAGACAGTGTCTCACTGAGTTGTACTTAGTGCCTTGCTATTGCTGAGGCTGGCTTTGAACTAGTGATCCTCCTGTCTCAGCCTCCCAAGTTGCTGGGATTATAAAAGTGTGCCAGCATGACCCTTCAGCAACACTCTTAATTTAACATCAGAATATCACAATAAAATGCTCTTTCATTTCTTTAAAATGTGATCTCAGGGCTGGGTTTGTGGCTCAGTGGTAGAGTGCTCTCCTAGCATGCATGAGGCACCAGGTTTGATCCTTAGCACCACATAAAAAATGATGTTGTATGGGCTGGGGTTGTAGCTCAGTGGTAGCATGCTTGCCTAGAATGCATGGGGCACTGGGTTCGATCCTCAACACCACATAAATGTAAAATAAAGATATTGTGTCCACCTAAAACTAAAAAATAAATATTAAAAAAAAAAGATATTGTGTGTCCACCTACAAATAAAAAATAAGGGGCTGGGGTTGTGGCTTAGTGGTAGAGTGCTGCCGGGCATGTGTGAGGCACTGGGTTCGATTCTCAGCACCACATATAAATAAATAAAAATAAAGTTCCATTGACAATTAAAAGAAATATGTTAAAAAAAGTATTTAAGGGCTGGGGATGTGGCTCAAGCGGTAGCGCGCTCGCCTGGCATGCGTGCGGCCCGGGTTCGATCCTCAGCACCACATACAAACAAAGATGTTGTGTCCGCCGAGACCTAAAAAATAAATATTAAAAAATTCAAAAAAAAAAAAAAAAAAAAAAAAAGTATTTAAAAAGGGTCATGTACAATGGAAGACAGGTATCACAATAGTGTTAAGAGTAAAACATTCTGGAAAAGCTCTCTTTTCTAGAACATGGCCATCAGCCTTTCTAGTGATCCAAGTCTATGGATATTGTCATGGACCAAGGAACAAGTGAATGGCTAAACATAAAGAAAAGTTGGTCCTGGGACATGTGGAGATAGAAAATGCTACTGACAAAGCCTTTTATGGCATTTGTTTTTCTAAGCTACTACTGCTGCTGCTGCTTCTTTTTTTTATTTTGGTCCTGGGATAGAACTCAGGGGCACTCAACCAATGAGTCACATCCCCATTCCTGTTTTGTATTTTATTTAGAGAGAGGGTCTCACGGAGTTGCTTAGTACCTTGCTTTTGCTGAGGCTGGCTTTGAACTTGCAATCCTCCTGCCTCATTATCCCAAGCTGCTGGGATTATAGGTATGCATGCACCACCGTACCTGGCATTTTTTTTTTCCTGGGGGGAGGTGATACTGGGGCACTTAACCACTGAGCAACATCCTCAGCCCTTTCATTCATATATATATATATATATATATATATATATATATATATATATATATATATATATATGAACGAAATATATATATATATTTTTTTCTTAGTTGTTGATAAACCTTTATTTTATTTATTTATATGCGGTGCTGAGAATCAAATCCAGTACCTCACACATGCCAGGCAAGTGTGTTACCAATGAGTCCCAGCCCCAGCCCCCTTTTCTTATACTTTATTAACAAACAGGGTTCTCACTGAGTTGCTTAATGCCTAAGTTGCTGAGGCTGGCTTTGAACTCATGATCCTTCTGCCTCAGCCTCCCAAGCTGCTGGGATTACAGACGTGAGCCACCATGCTTGGCTGCTTCTTGTATGGAGAATTATCTTCTCTCTCTACTTGTCTGATTAAAAACAAACAAAATATAACAAGAGCAATATACTACTATGGGGTCATAAGATGTAGTCGTGTCTCTGTGACTTGGAGTAACTGGTTTGTTGATAAATCACCTTAGAAAAACACACTTTCATGAAACCTTTCATTATGTCTTTCAGATAGCTGGCAATAAAAGAAGCTCAAAAGAAATACTATGCCATGCAATGGGAACCATTTCACTCACGCACCAATCCCCAAAGGGAGCCTTCTGAGGTGGCAACAATGGTAGCAGCTCTCGGGGTGTTGTACATCAGAGCTAGTTCTCCAAAACTGCCACGGTTATCATACTGACCAACAGAACGTGTTTGATTATCTTTTGTCACTAAAATGTCGTAAGTTCCCCTGGAAGAATGACAAAAAACAATTTAATTAATTACTTCTGATTATGAATTTACATATAATATAAAACATCAATAGGGGATTTCCAACATAATTTTGTTGGTGTATAAATTGCAACAGATCTTTCATTTTGACTGTATCCTGTAATCCTGCTAAACACTAGTACCTATTTTAGGTGGTACTCTTAGGATTTCTCATGATAGATCATGCTACTTGCATGTTGTTATGGTTTGGATTTGAGGTGTCCTCCAAAAGCTCAAGTGTAAGACAATGCAAGAAGGTTCAGAGGAGAAATGATTGGTTTGCAATCCCCCTGGTGTGGTGACAAACAACTGTAATCCCAGTGGCTCAGGAGGCTGAGGCAGGAGGATCGAAAGTTCAAAGCTAGACTCAGCAAAAGCAAGGTGCCAAGCAATTCAGTGAGACCTAGTTTCTAAATAAAATACAAAAAAAAATAGGACTGGGGATGTGACTCAGTGGTCAAGTGCCCCTGAGTTCAATCCCTGGTAACCCCACCCCCACCCCAAAGAGTCTTAGCCCTAACCCAATCAGTGAATTAATCCCCTGATTGGGATTAACTGATTGATAACTAAAATGGTAGGGTATGGCTGGAGGAGGCATGGCTTTGGGGTATATTTTTGTACCTGGCAAGTGGAGAATTCTCTCTGCTTCCTGATCACCATGTGAGCTGCTTCCCTCTGCCACACTCTTCTGCCATAATGTCCTACCTCACCTTGAGCCCAGAGGAATGGAGCCAGCCACTTATGGACTGAGACCTCTGAAACCACAAGCCTCAAAATAAACCCTTCCTCCTCTACAGTTGTTCTGTTGGGTCTTTCAGTTGCAGCAGTGGAAAAAGCTGAGTGAAACACATTTTACTTCATTCTTTCCATCTATATGTCTTTCCTTTCTTCCTTTATTGTGGGAGGCTTTCACGTCATGTGACCAGCGTTTTCCCCTCCTGATCGGTTGAGGCACTGTTGGTCATCCTCCCATGATCTGGCTACTCTTAAGTTGCTGAAGACGGTAGCCCCGATCTTGAGGTAGAAATAATGCAACCAAATGTGTCTTCGTGCGTAAGCGTGCCTTCCTGCAGCCCCATGGTATTACCCCTTGCCCTGTTTGGGATAGAATGCTCCAAGGAAACGCCCTTTATATATCCCCTTCTCTTACTCTGCCCTTGGGTGTGGCCTTCAACCTGTTGACAGCAGATATCATGAAACTAGACTCAGCCCCTTGAAACTTAACCCCTTGCCTCTTTTGAATGGCTTCTCCTCAATAAAAGGGGTCAGCACATGCTCTCTCTCTTTCTGAGGACCCTTAAGGTCAGAGGAGCTGTCACAGTACCCACAAAGATAAAGGTATTTCTGTCTCTTGTGTGGTTATTTCGTGCAGCCCAGTTCCCCTGGAGTGACCCTGAGTGTTTTCGTCATAAGCAACGCGACACTTTACTTTGCTTTTTGCACCGGTTAGGACCTCTGGTGCAACACTGACTGGAAGCGGTGAGTGTAGACATCCTTCTTATCCTTATTCTTCAGGATAGGATAATAATACATTCCATAAAATGCTTAAAATAGACTTTAAAGATTAGATTACATAATGTATGACCTAATGTAAAAATGTGTTAATGTAATAGAGACTCCATTTTTTGTTTGTTTGTTTTTGGGTACTGGGGATTGAATTCAAGGACACTCAACCACTGAATCACATCTCCAGCCCTATTTTGTATTTATTTAGAGACAGGGTCTCACTGAGTTGCTTAGTACCTTGCCATTGCTGAGGCTGGCTTTGAACTCACAATCCTCCCTGTTTCAGCATCCTGAGTTACTGGGATTACAGGCGTGTACCACTGCACCCGGCTAAAGACTCCAATTTTGATACTTAGTTTTTGATAGTTTCAAACTCTATCATTCACCCTTTTCTCTTCCGTCCCACATCTGGGCAAGGTGATAAAAGTACCTGTGTGCTCCCTCCACTGGTACTGATGGGGAGCTCAAACAATATGCCATCTTATGTGAAAAAGTACCCTAACCCTATCCCTACTTTGTAACAACCATAAAATCCCAAGGAAGTCACCTCTCCCTATAGAACCTGACCTATAGTAGGCCTGGTATACAAGGCATTTTGGGTCCTGCTTAGGAACCTACCCTGCTCTCCTCAAAAAGCCTTGTTATATGAATAATAAGACTTTTATACTCTTTTAGTGGATATGTAGCATCAACAGTCTTTACTGTCTGAACCCAGTTTTGGTTCAGGCATCTGATCTCTACAGTAAAGCATGGAATAAACAATGGAAGGATACATTCTAACAATGAGATTATTGCTAAATTACTTCTAGACTATTTTCATTTCATTTATTTTAAAAAACTGTAATGGTGTACACCTATAATTCCAGAAGCTCAGGAGGCTGAGGCAGAAGGATCACAAGTTTGAGGACAGCTTCTGCAATTCAGTGGGGCTCTAAGAAACTTAGTGAGACCCTGCCTTAAAATAAAAAATAAAAAGGACTGGGGATATAGGTGAGTGATAAAGTACTTCTGGGTTCAACCTGCCTTAAAATAAAAAATGAAAAGGACTGGGGATATAGGTGAGTGATAAAGTACTTCTGGGTTCAACACCTAGTACCATAAAACAAAACAAAAAATTGTCTATAAAAAGATATCACTTTTTAAAAATAAATATCACTTATTAAATGCAAAGCAGAGAATAAAACCAAGCCACTCAATCAATTATATGGTACCAAATGTACTCAACAGAGAACCTGACATATAGTAGGCTTGGTATACAAGGCAAGTTATAAGGTCATAAATGAGAAACATGAAATTAAGAATAACTTCAATGAAGTGTTTTTAGTCTCTCTTCTAAAAGACACTAGAAACTTAACTTCAGGGAAGACAAACCAATTCAGACAGAAGCACTGTAGAGGGCATCTCCTGATATCTCCAAATACTTCTCTAAATAATGGGACACATTTTATCACCATTTTACCACCATATTACATAATAATCATCTATTTAAGGGTCTGTCTCCCTAACTAGAATAAGCTTTTTGAGATCAGAACTGTATCTTTTTACTTGAATGATAATCTTCCACTTTCACTACATATAAAGGATTCCTACAGGTGTTGACATTAACAGAATCATCAAATCCCATTTAAATGTATAATGAATCATTTCCTTTGTCAATAGGCATTTCAGACTTTAAGCTGTGGATGCCTGCAGATGGGTACTTATTTTTCAGATTGTAAAAGCCTGCTGGGAAATCTATTTTGGTGGGAAATACACAGAAGGTGTAAGGTGACTTCTGGACACGGAGATAACTAAAAATTATTCTTTCATTACTATCAGCATTTCTATATAGGAAGGATTAAGCATAACAGGTAAAAGGTCTTTTCTTTGAAAAGATATATTATCTTTACTGTTTAAGTAAAAACATTTCCTTTTAACTATAATAATCACAGGAATCAAGAGCCAATAGGAAGTGAGAGCATTTTCTGTTCAAAAACCTGAACAAGCAAAGGTTTGAGAAGAATGTACCACAGGTACTTGATGGAAATCAAAAAAGCCAAAAAAAAAAAAAATGAACAAACAAGAAAATGGACTCAATAATCAGGGAAATAATTGGAAATTTAGAATAAAATCTGTACATTAAACAATTCGATGCAGTAGTATACAATTATGAGTGTTTTAACTATTCTGTGCATAAGAAAATGTCATTTTAAGGAAATGCAAATTGAAGTACTTGGAGATAAAGAGCATTCGTGATATCTGCACCTTACTCTCAACAATCTGATAAAGCAAATATGGTAGAACATTAACTTGGGGGACCCGTATTTATAAGAATTTTCTATACTATTTGTACAAGCTTTCTGTAACTCTGAAATTACTTCAAACATTTTTTTTCCAAAAGATTAACAGATGATATTGGGTGAAAGAGCATCTTATTAACTTAGACTCTGGTGAAGGTGCTCCTTTCAGGACTGAGAGGAAGTCAGAAGGAACCCTACCGCACTACAAGAGAATACTGTCAACTCAAGAGGCTAATAAGACACAATAAGGTGGGTGGATCAAATTCAGATATTTAATTTTTCACAGTATAGCTTACCTCTATTCCTTTAGAACAAAGCCAAAATGGGCTAGAGGAATGGAGGTCAAGGTAGTGTATTCATGTGTAAAATCAGGTTGAAATTCAGAGATCCAAATGATAATATAGCATCCTGGCTATTCTTTAAGGAAATCAATTTATCTTAACACTGACTAATGATATATACATAATAAAGCACATCAGGCATTCTTTGTCAAACTCCGTACTATAAATGGTTGTTCCCCACATATAGGTTGCTCTGAGGACTCAAGACAGCAATGGAGAGGGGCAGGCTGTGACCCTTCATAAGGCTTTGGGAAGCTTGCTCACCCGCTGCTAAGCCTCTCTGCATGGACACAGCACAGAGTAAAGTATGTTCCCCGAGTCATAAACCCACCTAAGTCTGGCAATACAATTGCAAAGCTCTATCTCCTACCTTTCTATGACATAAAAGTTGTCTCCATCATCTCCTTGGTCAATGACATGTTCATCAACTTTGACTATCCTTTCAAACATGGCATCGAGTACTTCAGAAAGCTGTTCCTACAGGGTACATACAAAGAGAAAAAGTGGCTTTTACATTTGCTAAAAAATATAATGGCCACAGCTATCTCAATTTATCTTCTATATAACAGAAGTTCCCAAAGAGTCTATTCCCCAAAGTTATGCAGAACTCTAAGAACTTTTGCAAACAACTATTATTCTAGGATTATTCAGCTTTGTAACTCCAGGTACCTCAGTAGGTAGCACAATTACCAACTTTTCTGAGGAGTACTGTTTTGAAAAAGCTTTCTACAACTTATACAAAAATAGATTATGTAGATCATGGTCCCCGTTATCCCAGTTGTAGCTACATGACTCACCTGCCTTCATGGCTCCAGTATATCATGTATAAAGCCACGTACTGCCACCTTCTTACAGGTATTGACATTAACAGAATCATCAAATCTAAAGAGCTGTGATAGCCTTGGAGGTTATTTTGTGGAGTAGTACACTGCCTCTGAGTAGTCCAGCACACCATTAGTCTCTCTGAACTTCAGGTTCTTCATTCATAAAATTTCAAAATAATAAAGTTGCTAGATCATCAATTTTTACAATTAAAGGAGAAAAATCTGGGGGAAGTATTTACCATACAACAAGTACTTAATAAATGGGATTATTGCTTCATTTATCCATAATATGTAATTACTTACCAATATTACCTGCCACAAGAAGATAACTATACTAATAAGTGTAATAAAAAATACTATTACATCATAGCAAGAGAGCTTTTGCTATGATTTAATTCAGTGGTAGCATGCCTGAGGTCCTGGATTTGACCCCCAGCCCTACAAAAAAAAGGAAAGAAAGAAAGAAAGAAAGGGAGGGAGGGAGCGAGGGAGGGAAGAAAGGAAGAAAGAAAGGAAAGGAAGGAAGGAAGGAAGGAAGAAAGGAAAGGAAGGAAGGAAGAGGGTCTGGGGTTGTGGCTCAGCAGTAGAACACTCGCCTAACACGTGCGAGATGCTGGGTTCAATCCTCAGCACCACATAGAAATAAATAAATTAAATAAAGGTATTGTGTCCAACTACAACTAAAAAAATGTTAAAAAAAAAAAAAAAAAAGAGTGCTGGGGTCATGGCTCAGTGGTAGAACACTTGCCTAGCATGTGTGAGGCACTGGGTTCAATTCTCAGCACCACATATAAATAAATAAAAGTCCATCAACAACTAAAAAAAAAAATATTAAAAGAAGAATGGAAGGAAGGAGGGAGGGAGAGAAGGAGGGAGGGAAGGAAGAAAGACCGACCTAACAAAATAGTAGTCTCAATTTTGGGCCAGCATTCCTCTGTCAGACAGGGAGACCAGTGATTGTTAGGGGACACTAAATACTAGCTTCAACTCAAAGAGACTTTATTTATGGGGCAATGTAGATTGAGGACCTGGCAAAGAAATAATTTTTATTGCTGAATAATTCCATGTTATTTAATCTTCTGTCAGAGTGACTGTGCTACCTAAAATAATATGACCAAAAGGCATCTTTAGGAAGAAAGGAAGGAAGGAAGGAAGGAAGGAAGGAAGGAAGGGGAAAGGAAAGGAAAGGAAAGGAAAGGAAAGGAAAGGAAGGAAGGAAGAGGGGGCTGGGGTTGTGGCTCAGCAGTAGAACACTCGCCTAGCACGTTTCATGTGCTGAATACCATAAAAAGCTGAAAATACTAAAAAGATGGCTTAATACTCATACATTCATGTGGAATGTGGGTCTAGTGTTGCTTGAAATCTCCTATTTAAATACTGGCAAGTTTAAAAAAAAAGCAGAAAAAATACTGTCATAAATATAAATTTTCATGTATAATACAGATTAAACATACATCTATACCTGGCTTATGGGTTATCTCTTAGAAGCTGCTTCTAACTTTTCTTCTTCTAGTCTAGACTCTTCAAAAAAATCAGTGTCATAAGATATGGGAATACAGGGGGGCAGGGGAGCATTCTAGGTTAGAGGGAGTAAAATGATACTACAACAACCAATTGCAATATGTGATTCAAGACTGAAAAACAAAACAAGCCAGGCATGGTGGTGTACCTACAACCCCAGTTACTTGGAAGGCCAAGACAAAAGGATTGCAAGTTCAATGGTAGCCTGCCTGGACAACTCAGTGAGACATTGTCTCAAAATAAAAAGTTTTTATTTTATTTAAAAAAACTTTTTATTTGTCCTTTTTAGTTATTCATGATAGTAGACTATATTTCAACATATTACCCATATATGAAACATAACTTCCCATTCTTGTAAATGATGCGGAGTTACAAAATAAAAAATTTTTAAAAAGGGCTAGGGATAGGGGCTATGGTTGTGGCTCAGTGGTAGAGCGCTTGCCTAGCATGTGCAAGGCACTGGGTTCGAGCCTTAGTACCACATAAAAATGAATAAATAAAATAAAGGTATAAAAAAGTGTTGTATCTGTTTTATGTTTTTTTTAAAGGCTGGGGATAGTTGGTATGATGGCGCATGTCTGTAATTCTAGTGACTTAAAAGGCTGAAGCAGGAGGATCACAAGTTTGACGAAGGCTAACTTGGCAACTTAGTGAGGGCCTAAGCAGCAACACAGCAAGGCCCTGTCTCAAAATAAAAAAAGATTAACAAAAAAAAAATGGCTGTGGATGTTGCTCAGTGGTAGAGCACCCTGATACAAAAAAAAAAAGGAAGGAATGAAAACTGTCCCAGATTGGAGGAAACTAAGAAGAAATAACAACCAAATGCAATGTGGTATTCTGGATTAGACCTTTAGAAGAAATGCATTAGTCAGGCTGAGCATAGTGGTGCACAACTGTAATTCCAGCTACATAGGAGGCTACGGAGGATCACAAGTTTGAGGCCAGCCCGACAACTTAGTAATACTCTGTCTTAAAATAAAAAGGGCTGAGATATGGCTCAGCAGAGCACTTACCTAGCATGGGTGAGGCCCTGGTTCAATCTCCAGAACCACACACACACACACACACAAAAGAGAAGGAGCACAATTAGTGAGAAAACCAATTTGAACAAGGTGATTTTTTAACTTATACTACTGTAATGATGTCAATTCCTTGGTTTTTTTGCACATGCTAGGCAAGTGCTCTATTACTATGCCACAACCCCAGCTCCAATTTCTTGATTTTGATAACTATACTATGACTATGTAAGACGGTAATGTTGTTGAGATACTGGATAAGCGATGACTTATTCCCTTATAGAGATATATACTATTTTTCAAACTTTTTTTGTAAGTCTAAAACTTGTTCAAAATAAAAAGTAAAAATTAAAAAAGGAGGAGGAGCTGGTTACAGTGGTGCCCACCTGGAGATTGAGGTAGTAGAATACCGAGTTTAAAGCCAGCCCCAGTAATTGAGCGAGGTCCTAAGCAACTCAGCAAGACTGTCTCTAAATTAAATATACATAAAATATATATAAATACACACACACACACACATACATACACACAGAGCTGGGGATGTTGCTCAGTGGTTAGGCACCCCTGAGTTCAATTAAAAAAAAAAAAACAAGAGGAAGAATGAGAGAGCGACCAAAAGGGAGAGAGAGAAGGAGAACAAGAGAGAGGAGGAAGAGAACTAGAGGAAGAGGAGGAAGAGGCCGAAGAAATGAATTACTGATATATACAAGAATATGAATAAACCACAGAAATATTATGCAACTTCATACAGAGTTGGGGATGTAGCTTAGTGTTAAGAGCATTTGCTTAGCATACAAAAAGATCTGGGTTTTATCCCCAGTACTGAATGAAAAAGAAATTTCATGAAAAAGAGTACATACTGCACCCCCCTACCCCAGGCTTTTAAAATTCAATACTGGGGTTAAACCCAGAGTGTTCTACCATCAAGTTACATCCCCTTCCTTTTTTACTTTTTATTTTGAAACAGGGGCTCACCTTGAACTTGTGGTTCTCCCAGCTTAAATTGCTGGGATTATAGGCATGCACCACCATGCCCAAATATATAATCCCATTTATATAAAATTCTAGAACAGGCAATCTAGTTTATTAGGCAATAAATCAAAACAGTAGTTGCCTCTGGAGGAGGGAGATAAGAAATAATCATTAAGAGGCATGGGATGGGGTCAATGGCTAAAGCGGTAACGTGCTTGCCTGGCATGCGCAGGGCGCTGGGTTCAATCCTCAGCACCACATACAAATAAAATAAAGATGTTGTATCCACCGAAAACTAAAAAATAAATATGAAAAAATTCCCTCTCTCTCTCTTAAAAAAAAAAAAGAAGAGGCATGGGATGGGGGCTGGGATTGTAGCTCAGTGGTAGAGCACTTGCCTGATATGTATGAGGCACTGGGTTCGATTCTCAGCACCATGAATAAGTAAATGAGTAAAATAAAGGTCTATCAACAACTAAAAAAATATTTTTTAAAAAAGGCATGGGATGGTGGTAATGTTCTATATCTTAATACCTGCATATGCATTTGTCAAATTTCAAAGCACACTTAAGACAAGTGTATTCAATACTGAAGAAAATGGGGGGGGGTAAGGAGCACTTTTACATTGTTGGAGGGATTATAAATTAGTTTAACCACTATGGAAATCAGTTTGTACATTCTCAAAAGACTAGAAATGGAACTACCACATGACCTAACTATACCACTTCTCATATTTATCACAAATAATTAAAGTCATCATACTATAGCAATGCATTCATACCCATGTTTACAGCAGCACAATTCACAGTAGCTGAATAATGGAACCAGCCTAGTTGCCAGTCAATGGATGAATGAAATATGGGATATATACATAATGGGGTTTCACTTAAGCATAAGAAGAATGAAAGAAAATCTGGCACATACACATAAAGGAGTTTCATTCAAGCAAGAAGAAGAATATAGCTTTAGCATATGGCTTTCAGAGTAGGGAAATAGAAACTCTGAAGATTCCCTATAGCTATAGGCAAAAGATATATGTTCTTCTCAAATTCATGTTAAAACCTAATTCCCGGGCCGGGGATGTGGCTCAAGCGGTAGCGCGCTCGCCTGGCATGCGTGCGGCCCGGGTTCGATCCTCAGCACCACATACAAACAAAGATGTTGTGTCCACCAGAAACTAAAAAAAAAAATATTAAAATTCTCTCTCTCTCTCTCTCTCTTTAAAAACAAACAAACAAACAAACAAACCTAATTCCCAACAAAATAGTATTAAGGAGGTAGGGTCTCCTAGTGAATGAGATTAATTCTCTTATAAAAAAGACCCTTGCAAGTTCCCTCCTTTTTTCTACCATGTGAGGATACAGAGAGAAGGTGACCATCCACAAACCTTGAAGTAGGTCTTTCAGAGACAGAATCTGCTGATATTTTTATTTTACACATCCCAGTCTCCAGAACTGTAAGAAATAAATTTCTGTTGTTTACAGGCCACCTGCACTCGGATGCCTATCCTTAGGAGGCAGTCCTTGTTCTCTATCTCTACCACCAAGAGAAGAACAGGCTACACCACAGATTCTAAGACATACATGATTTGCAAGAAGTGCTCTTTGTCTAAGATCTTCACCAAGAAGCAGGAGCCCAATATCTGAGGTATGAAAAATAATCACATAATTCTAGTGGGTTAACATGTTACCTTGTGAAGAAAATTACAAAAGAGCATCTTTGGACAAATGAATCCATTTGCAGCATAAATTCAGACCCTCCAAACCAAGCCAGGCCAGAATCATGCAGACTAGAGCATTTTCTGGCAACACTAAATCACATGGTCCTCATATTACCAGCATTATCTTTGAGGAAGTGTTGAAGCAGATCAGAAAAAATATTAAAAGTCATGTAAAAAATCATGTTCACATTATAGTGGTCAACACAATAAAATATTTGTAAAGTAAAATGAATCCAAGATTTCATGTTTCATACAACTATGACTAAAATGCTACAAACTTTAAATGATTAATAGGAAAAAAACTAAAAAGTAATTATAATAAAAATATTTTTAAAATCATTATTACCTGATCAAGATTTTTGAAAAGAAGAATATCTTTACAAGCTTCCTGAAGTCTGGATCTCTGTTCATCAGTTTTAGGATGAATCACCTGTCAAACCAAATAAAGCCAGGGAAAATGGTTTATTCCATTTAAAACTTACCTGCTTAAAAAGTGATATATCTCTTTCTCTTAAAAAGTAGGAAAAATTTGGGATTGGAGTTGTAGCTCAGTGGTAGAGTGCTTGCCTAGCATATGTGATACACTGGGTTCAATCCTCAGCACAACATAAAAATAAAGGCATTGTGTCCATAAACATATATATGTATGTATGTATTTTTTAAAGTAGGAAAAACTAAAAGCATGCTTTCTATAATTTTAATTCTACACAAATACCAAGCAATATCCTGAATGTGAAGGAGCAATGTTATACAAGGGTGACGAGCATGACTCTGGAGCTATCTGATGGCTGTGTGACTGGCAGCAAGTCAACTATCCCTAAGAAGCCTCAAGGTATTCATGTATAAAGCAAAGGGTTATAAATCTGTTCATTCAAAAAATACTGAGTACAGGGCTGGGGATGTGGCTCAAGCGGTAGCACGCTCGCCTGGCATGCGTGCAGCCCGGGTTCGATCCTCAGCACCACATACAAAGAAAGATGTTGTGTCTGCCGAAAACTAAAAAATAAATATTAAAATTAAAAAAAAATACTGAGTCCAGACTCAGTGCCAAGTACCATCCTAACTCTTGTCACACAGCAGTGAACTCATAGACAAAAATATCTACCTTTACTTTCAATGAGTATATAAATATGTTAGAGAGTATTAAGGCAAGGGAGATAAGAAGTGTGAAGGGGATGGGGATGGGGGAAGCCACAGGTTAGACCTCATTCAGGTGACAATGTGTACATATCTCAAGGAAATGAGTACAACCTGAGGGAGTAAGTCATGCTCTGTAGGAAGAGCAAGTAAAACCAAGGTTTTACAATAGGAGACTGAATATCAAATTCGAAAAATAACTAGGAGATAGATGTGATTGATACAGAGTAAGAGGGAAAAATCAAGAGACTGGGCTGGGGGGTTGGGGAGAGAAAGATGCTCAAATCAGAGGTCATGGTAAATCATAGAGAAACTGGAATTTTCTCTAGCACCATGGGAGTGATTTGAGGATAATGACTGAGGAGGAAATCTGACTGTTTTTAAAGATACATACTAGCTGCTAAATGAAGAAAAGTCTGAAAAAAGATTAGAATGGAAGCCAGGAAGCCAGAGTGTCTATCTTAGTGCCAGATGGTGGTGGTTTGAACCAAGGTGGTAGCCATGGAGGTGCTGAGAAGTACACAATATGCTTTGAAGACATGGGATTTACTGAAAAATTGGATGTGGGGGAAAAAATGAAGTAAACTGAAGGGGACTCTCAAGTTTTCAGCCAAAGCAAATGAACACTGGAGCTGGTATAAATGAAAACAGGGAAAGGCTGGGGGAGGAAAAGAATATTTAAAGGGAAATCAGGAGTTCTTGTTAAATTGTCTATTGACATCTAAGTAAAGATGGTAAGTAAACAATGGCTGTATAAGCTAAAGTATTAACAATTTATTATTAGCAGGAGTAGTGGTATCTGCAAATTAAAGTTGTCATAAGGATTAAATAACAATTAAGGATTTAACTGTCATAAGGATTAAACAAACGATAATTTGCATTCATAATAGGTGGTCAAAACACTATTATTTTCATTATTATTATAGATAATGAATGCTTCCTGAACTAAAAAAAAATAATTACTACCTTACACTGGTATTATAATTGAGATACCTATCAAGTTCCCTCAAAGCAATATCTTCACTCTAAAAAAGTATATCATTTAATCTGACAGAAATGCCATTATTTTAAATATGTAATATTAAAGTTGAAAAAATGTGTCTTAATTTTTAAAAACATTAAGAATTTTATAGTATCCAGGATATTAAAATTTATCAATTTATTCTAAATTTGTAATTACATGATGGTAGCATTTTATCATTAGAATACTTCAAAAATCTTTCACAGGTTACCCATTTTAAAGTATATATGATAAAACTTTAAAGTGTCTTTAATTATCTGTATATACATAAAAACAAATACATAAACAGATAAATATATTTAAATTTTTATGTTATAAAATATTCTAAAATGTACCTCATACAAACATATATTCTATGCCATTATCCTACCCTATATAATCATTTTCAATGGCTGCAGATTCTGTTGACTTGAATTTAACATAGTTTAATCCCTGGTATTCCTTTATTTAAGGTCATATAGCTTGTTTCCATTTTTCATTATTACAACACTGTAATGGTCTCCATTTGTATATTCTTAGGAAAGATCTAACTGTTTATTAGGGCTAAATTCCCCTTTGGGTTAACAGTTGAATCAGTTGGTTTCATCATGTTTAAGATTTCTGATTTAGCTACAGCTAGGTACTCCTCATCACACCCTTAAACAGTGCTGCTTTCAATCTGCTAGATAAAAAATGGTGCCAGGCATGTGGCACCATTACCTGTAATCCCACAAACTCAGGAGGCTGAGGTAGAAGGATCAAAAGTTCAGGGCCAGCCTTGGCAAGTAGTGAGGCCCCATTTCAAAATAAAAAGAAGTGAGAATGTAGCTGAGTGTTTAAAGTATCCCTGGGTTCAATCCCCAGCACCAAAAAAGATAAAACTTAAATTAAAAAAATAAAAAATGACATCTTATTATAGAGCTTTTTAATTTATATTTATTTTAATCATCAGTATGATTAATTTTTTTTAAAAAAATATCTTTTTAGTTGTAGGTGGACACCATACCTTTATTTTATTTATTTTATGTGGTGCTGAGGATCAAACCCAGTGCCTCACATATACTAGGGCAAGAGCTCCACCACTGAGCCAACCCCAGCCCCAGTATGATTAAATTTTGGTATGTAAAAGAAAGGAGATAGTTGAGAAATACAATAATTCTACATAACTTTTGCTTTAGTCCTTACCCTTGGATCATTATCTTCCTCTTCCTCATCAGGGTTATAGGTCTCTGCACAGACTAAAATTGGAGAGAAGAAACAGAGATGCATGACTTTAGGAAAAATAGGAAATGTACACAATTTCTTTTTATTCACTGTTTTCTAAAGTTCTAATGATTCTTTTAAATTCCCTCTTTCAATTAATATATATATTAAGTACCTTCTACTGTTAGGTATTCCCTTGGGTATTAAAAACCCAACTCTCTAGAGAATGATGATAGAAAATAGGAGAGAGACTGTCAGGAGCTGCCACATAGGAACCGAGCGCCCCTTAGCCTTGAGTGATGAGAATGTGGAGATGTGGCAAAAGCCAGCCATGGGCTGTGTGTGAACTATGGGCACTGAGCCCACGTTGCCCCTCTGTTTGGGCAGGCTTCGCTCTGGTCTTTTCGCTTGTTCTGCCATGATCCCCACACAGCTCATGAGATGGGCAAGGCTTCCCTAGATATCAGTCTGCTGACAGCAGACATCAACAAGCTAAATTCAACCCCCTGAAACTTGACCCCTTGCCTCATTTGAACGGTTTCTCCCCAATAAAAGGGCTCAGCACGTGTGCCGAGCACTCGCTCGCTCGCTCGCTCTCTCTCTCTCTCTCTCTCTACCCCTAAGGTCAGAGGAGCCTTCACAGGACCCAAAGAAAAAAGGATTTCTGTGTCTCTGTGTGATTATTTCGTGTAGCCCAGATCACCTGGAGTGACCCTGAGTGTTTTGTCCTGGGACACAACAAGAGATGATAAATATATCACCTGCTAAATCTTATGGTAGTGCAAGTACAAATAAGAAGGTGCTACCTATGCTAAGTTATGAAACAGAAACTTAAAAAAAACATAAAGTATAATATATATGTACTATAAACACAAGAGAAACAAAGGTAATTACTCAAAAAATGAATTAAAATACTTCAGAGTAATTATGTGCAGGTATAACTTTTAAAACTCCTGAATTCAAGCAATCCTCCAGCTTTGGCCTTCTGAGTAAGCTGGGAGTACAGATCTATGACATCATGTCTCACAAAAAATTTTTTTTGTCAGTACTGGGGATTGAACCATCCACCTTCAGAAGAATATATTCCAACCTTAAAAAAGAACTGTGATTAGTAATGGAATAATAATTCTAAAACTCTACTAACACACTGATGTTTTATATTGGAGAGGAGTACAAATATGGAATAAAAAGAAAGATTAAGACTAGAGATGCCTATATAAATCATTATTTTAGAATCTTACCTGTGGTATTACTGCTGGCAAATATACAATGAATTATTAGTGAATTTTTTTAAAAGGGGCTGGGCATGATGGCACATGCCTATAATCCCGGGAGGCTGAGACAGGAGGATCAAGACTTCAAAGCCAGCTTCAGCAAAAGCAAGGTGCTGAGCAACTCAATGAAACCCTGTCTCTAAATAAAATACATAATAGGGCTGGGGATGTGGCTGAATGTCGAGTACCCCTGAGTTCAATCCCTGGTACACCCCCAAAATAAAGGGGGGCACAGGGCGTGGTGATACAAGGCTCTAATTCCAACAGCTTGGGAGACTGAAGCAGGAGGATCTCGAGTTCAAAGCCAGCCTCAGCAATTTATCGAGGCCCCTAGGCAACTCAGCAAGACCTTATTTCTATATAAAATATAAAAAAGGAGCTAGGGATATGGCTCAGTGGTTAAGCGCCCCTGGGTTCAGTCTCAGTACAAAAAAAAAAAAAAAAAGCGTTTGTACTAACAAAACTGTCTTGTCAAAATGATCTAGATGTGATTGTCGAGAGCTGCCACATAGGAATCAGCATGAACCCTTAGCTCTGAGCGACAGAGGTGTGAGACTGGGCACCTCCGCTTTGGGAGTGGGTGTCACACCAATGAAACTGGCTACACCCCCCTGAAACCCAATCCCTTGCCTCATTTGGATGGAACTTTCTCAAGTGTCTTCCCCTCAATAAATAGGTTCTCAGGGATGCTCTTGCTCTCTCTTTCCAATGGATCCCTAAGGTCACAAAATGTTCCTGATTCCTGCAAGCAAAAGGTATTTTTGTGTATTACAAGCTGCTTTCACTATTTTCTTAAGCTATTGGTACAGCCAACTCTTGTGAACCTAGCTAGCAGGTGATATGTGATCAATGTGATCACTGATGTCACTCAGAATTCAACAAACCAAACCTTTTCCCTCTTTACAGTATAGATCATTACATGCTGGGTAAAGTTTTCTTCTTCTTCTTCTTTTTTTTTTTTTTTTTGGTACCAGGGACTGAACCCAGGGTTGCTTAACCACTGAACCACATCCCCAGTCCTTTTTAATAATTATTAATAATTTTTAATAGAATTTTTAATAATTCTAAAATCTCTAATATTTAGAGATGGGTCTCACTGAGTTGCTTAGGGCCTTGCTAAGATGCTGAGCCTTGCTTTGAACTCCTGATCCTCCTGCCTTGGCCTCCTGGGCTGGTGCAGCGGTTACAGGCTTGTGCTATCATACCTGGCTGGGAAAGTTTTCTTCTAATAAAGCTTCATTAACTATAATAGCTGTGTGACCAGAGGTGATTTACTGCAAATCTCCACCCTTTCTTCTGCATAAAGGAGTTCAAATAAGCAATTTTCCTCTGAATACTGTCCTAATGATTTAAGTATTCAAGTGCCTGGCATACAGTCAGGATGCAGTAAACCCTAATTCTTTAAGCTATTACTGTTATTACTTTTATTTCATTTGTTCTGGTTTTCAGGAATACTAGTTATTGTTAGCTTAGTCCTGTTCTTTATCTTAGCTCTTTTGACAACTGTTCTTCCTTCAATGCTGCCTTCCATCACAGATTTTTGCCCTTAACAACTTTGCTCTTTTTGACATCTTTAAGTATTGAATTGAGTTTCCTATTTATTCAGAATTCATAAAGGTAATGTTTTCTTGAACTGTACTGAGTCTTTTGTAGTGAATCTTTCTGGCCTTCATTCCTCTCATATCCTTAATTTGTTCACTTCATTCACAGGCCCTTATTGGTTTGTTGGGATTTCTCATCTGTTACCAGGCAAGGAAAAAAAAAAAAAAAGTTCTTGACCCTAATCTCAATTCATTTGTATGATAGCTAAAAGACTCCATATATCAGGGTTGTGGCTCAGTGGTACAGTGCTTGCCTAGCATGCATGAGGCACTGGGTTCAATCTCCAGCACCACATTAAAAAAAAAAAAAAAAAAAAAAAAACCTAAATAAACAAAGAGCTCTGAGAAGTCCTGTGTTATTAAAAAAAATCCATATATCTATAACTAGAGGATAAGCTAATATACACTCCCAATTTAAATCCCAGTTTCTTAAAGACACTTACTAATTGCATTCCTGGTCCAAATATATCCTAGTTTTCCATTCCTCAATGGTTCTCTGAACACATTAAACATTTCAGAGATGGTAGCTTCCAGCATGTCCTGTACACAGGACTCTCCCTTTTCTGCCTTAATACTTTACTTGTGTGGGTCATGACCTCTGTTCTATAATGCTATCAATACCCTGCCTTCTCAATGTGGACCTGGTTTCCTAAAACAGATACAGAAAGTTAGAGGAAATAGTGTAAGAAAAGACACCATTCCTGTCCCAGAAACAGCATCAAATAATGTCCTGCAGGGCAGATGCCCAGGTCCTGGCTGGTGTGGGTCTTGGTCACTGAGCCAAAGAAATAATAATGGAATAGAGTTAATGACTCACCACCTTTCTCCAAGCATTTCTTCATCCTGGAGATGAAGTCAGGGTGCTTATCTCAGTTCTGCCCCAAAGATTAAGGTAGACACTTATCTTAGTTCCTGGACTATTTTTGCTACTACTTTTTGCATCTTCATAGGTTATTCTGGTAGAATATTGGGAAAGCTGCATCAAGGACATCTGAACAGACACAATGTTCTTTTTGTGTGTGTGTGTGGTTCTAGGGATTGAACCCAGGGCCTTGTGTGTGCAAGGCAAACACTCTACCAACTGAGCTATATCCCCAGCCCCAGACATCATGTTATTCAGCTACTCCATGTTTAAGACTTAAAAATGTCTACTTATAATAATCCACTTTTTAAAATATTTATTACTTAATTGTAACTAGACATAATACCTTTATTTTATTTATTTATTTTTATGTGGTGCTGAGTATTGAACCCAGGGCCTCACACATGCTAGGCAAGTGCTCTACCACTGAGTCACAACCCCAGCTCAATAATCTACTTTTTAAAAAAACCTTCACTACGGGAAAAAGATGGATGCATGAGTATTACATTTTCTCAATTTTTATTTATGTATGAAAGTTTTTATTTAAATGTTTTAAAAAATTAAACCTTCAATGATAAAACTGACACAATTTTATTGATAGTGACACTTCATCTTGGGCAAGTTTATTTCTAGGCTTGTTTTTCGTTGGAGGACAGTATTTTGTCAACTAGCTCATTTTTATATTTTTATATATTAATATAACTGAGGCAACAAATGTTAATTATAGTCTTCAATCCTTTAGATATACTACTATAATTTAAACAAAAGTAGCTGGGGCTGAAAACATAGCTCAATAAATAGTACTTCCTCAGCATGCACAAGGCTCTGGGTTCAACATCTAGACCACAAAACAAACAAAAAACCCAAAAGTAAAAAAGGGAATGCTTTTGTTAAAATTATTTATGTTCTATTTGTGGAAAGACATTAATGCATCGATTTTCCAAAACTAATTTTGAATTTACTTCCCTCTCCATTTCTTTATTTATTATGATACAAACACTTAATATGAGCTATCCCCTCATAAGAAATTTGCAAGTCCACAACACAGTATTGTTTATCCTGCATAACTAAAACCTTATACCCACTGAATAGCTATTCCACACTTCCCCCTACTATCAGTCTCTAGCAACCAACATTCTATTCTGTTTCTGTGAGTTCAATTTTTGAGGGGTACTTGGGATTGAACCCAGGGGTACTTTATCACATAGCTATATCTTTTTATTGTGAGACAGGGTACTGCTAAGTTGCTTAGGGCCTCACTAAATTGTTGAGGCGAGTCTCAAACCTGTGATCCTCCT